AAAAAAACAAACTTCCCTGTTTTTAATCATCATAAACTGGATCCTCTACGTCTTGTAGTTGCAACTTCCGATGTTTTCCCCTTCCATCTATCATGTGTGGGTTCAAATCTGGAATAGGGGCCTGCAAAACAGAGGGTAAAGGTTTCCTGTCAGAAATCGGCAACATAATATAAGGAGCATTACCTAACTGTTGTAATTCAGGAGAACCATTCAATGCTGCAACAGTTTCCTGTAATTTAGAACTCAAGGTTAACTCTTCTTTCTCAGGATGCTTACTAATGGTGATTTCCAATACATCCTTCCCATCAAGTTCATAAACTTCTTGTGCTGGATCCTTGCATTTAGGAGGTAATTTCTTTTGGAAGATTGCTAAAACATTCTCCCCTATATGGACTTTCTCATCGCCTTTCAGCTTCTTCTTAGTAGTGTACAACTCCTTGAGGAATTTAGCATAGCGGGGTACTTGCTTGATTGCATCAAGGAGGGGGATATTTACCTCAACTTTGCGGAATGTCTCAAGAATATCCTTGTCTTGCTCCTCCTTCTTGGATTTTGCAAATCGGCTTGGAAAAGGTGGAGCGGTCACTACGGCTTGGGGTTGTTTACTGCTTGGATCTTGAGTTTGGGGTAGTGCTTCCTTCTCTATTTCTTCTTTGGCCGTATTCTTAGGCACTACCTTGCTAGGTCTATTCAGCTCCTTTCCGCTTCTGATGGTGATCACACTTGTATTTTTTTTAGGGTCGGCCATGGTTTGGGAGGGTAGCTTTCCTAATCCTTGAGATTCCAATCGACTCACAGTAGTTTCTAATTCGCTGACTTGATTTTCCAGGTTTTTGATGCTTGTCCTTGTCTCTTGTTGGAGATGTTGGGTATTAGCTGTAAGTGCTTTTACAATTTCATCCAAAGACCTACCTGGTCTGGGAGGTGCATGTTGTGGAGCTGGTTGTCTAGGTTGGAAACCAAAGGGCTTGGCTCCATAGATAAAATTAGGGTTTTCCCTCCATCTAGGATTATATGTATTCGAATAGGGATTGTATCTCCTTTGTGGGAACCCTCCAATAGCATTGGCTTGTTCGTAGGGTTCATCTTGAAGTGTAGGGCACATGTCGGTAGGATGATCCATAGTTGAACATATGCCACAAGTATTTATCTGTTGTACGTGGCCTACAACCAGTTTTTCCACGAGAGAGGTGAGGGTATCGAGTCGTTGATCAATGGAAGAAGTGCTTACCTCATTGACTCTCCTCGGAACGGGTTCCTGCCTTTGGTCGAACTGTTGTGCGTTGGCCGCCATGTTCGAGATTAATTCTCTTGCTTGAGTAGGAGTTTTATTCACCAACACATCTCCGCTTGCTGCATCAATCATACTCCTATCCATCGGCAATAATCCTTCATAGAATTATTGGATAAAGAGCTGGTATGGAATCTGATGTTGCGGACAACTGGCACAAAGTTGCTTAAATCTCTCCCAGTACTCATAGAGAGTTTCTCCGCTGAATTGTCTTATCCYGCAAATTTCCTTTCTGATGTTAGCAGCTCGTGAGGCTGGGAAAAACTTTTCAAGAAATTGCTTTTTCATCTCGTTCCATGTGGTGATAGAACCGGAGGGTAAGTAGTAAAGCAATTCCTTAGCTTTATTAGCTAATGAGAAGGGAAAGGCATTCAGCTTGATCTACTTCTCGGTAACACCTTGTGGTTTCATGCTCAAGCAGACCACATGGAATTCTTTTAGATGTTTGTGGGGATCTTCACCTAAAAGTCCACAAAAGGTAGGAAGTAAGTGGATAAGGCCAGATTTTAGATCGAAAGGTACCGTTAGATCTGCATATTCGATGGAGAATGGCTATTGGTGCAGACTTGGTGCGGCTAGCTCTCTAAGAGTTCTCTCATCAATGTTGGCCATGATTTCTTCTTCAGGGTGGTTAGATGACTCAACGAGGACTGTTGCCGACTTCACCCCGAGAGATGGGAGAGATGTTGTTTGGTTGCGACGTTGCTTGGCTTCCTTCCTTAACCGGCGAACTGTGTTTTTGAGCTCGGGATCGTAGTGGAGTTCACCTACACGAGAAGAACGCGGAATAAACCAAGCAAAAGGAAATAAATCTACTTAGGACACCAATCCCAGCAACGGCTCCAAAATTTGGTGGGTGTCGAATCCTACCAAAGATAAATGTGCTGCTCAAATTAAATATTTTTGTAGATAGTGATGAGCAAGGTCGTCTCCACAGGGATTGGGTGGATTTATTTCCAAGAGAAAGGAAAATAGGGGG